ATTTTAGTTATATTTTTGAGATAACTATATAAAAATAGTCACATGCAACTCTTTCTGACGATTACTTGAACCAAAATTTCCTATCAAAGAAAGACTTAATTTTTGTTAGAGATAGTGCTTAGCAAAATTAAACAAAAACTCGATTATCAAGTTTTTGAATCTATCGATTTATTGTATTATGTTTCAATTATAAAATCTATGTTTGCTCTAAACTTTATATTAGTTACCACTAAGCCTAAAGTAAGATTGCATTCCAGTTAGATTTATATATACTAAAATAAAATTTGTATTTATTAATGCACAATATTGTAAATTGATACTGTAGATTCAAAAACTCGATAATCGAGTTTTTGTTTGATTTTGCCAAGCATTAGTTGGAAAGTCATGGTCTAACGTAGCGGTTTGCCTAGATATTAACGGTTTTCTGTTCCGGGACTCCTCTAAAAGTTGTGCATTCAACATGCAAGCCAAGAGTGTTAGTATACAAGTTAACTAGCAGGAGATGTGTGCCCTTGCATACAAAATCTTGGTAGAGAGACAAGGGTCTTCTCTATTAACAAAGTTATTTAGGCTGTTACTTTTAGAAGAAGAACACAGGAGAAACAACAAAATTTTGATTTTTTTCAAGCCGCACTCTTTTACTTGGCCAAGTGGTTTCTCTTTTACCTTTGCTCACCCTCCCATCAGTTTTTCAAAATTTTTCATAAAAAGTGAGGATTTGGCTTACCCTCTCCAAAAGATCGGCATTGTTTACACCTGCCTATTTCAGATGAACTTAGTAGAATGCAATCACGTATTTGTTTTGTTTATCAATACGGTGCTATGATACAGGGAAGAGACCAGTGCCTCTGTTTAGAAGATACCTGATTCTAGTCATATGTTTGGAATGAGTCTTTAACGATAAAGTAAAGCTTTACAATTGAGATATATTAATTAGTTGCAATTAGTATATAATTTTTTAATACCTGGCACGGGCTTTAATAGTGTATTTTCTGTTTTTCTATTCTTCTATTTGTATGTCAGGACTACATAGTCCTTTTTTTTGCTTTTTTCATCTTCGTCTATTTATGATAGAACTATATTTAGGATATACTGTTTTTATATATATATTTTTTCTTTTTGTTTTTGTTTTTGTTTTTCTAGATTTTGTTTTTCTTTCATAGATGTGATACATATTTTTTTCTCTTATAGAAAAGTAAAAAATAAACTATTCTGCTTAGACCTAGGTGAAAAAGTTTTAAAAAAAAAATAGTAGTCTTGACAGGCTAGTGGGGCCTTCTGTTGATATTTTATTTCACTTTACTTGCAAGAGGGAATATTATGGAGGAAAACTCTGCTTATAGCAAGTCATACATGGATAATTTGGACTTTGGTCGCAAAGAGCCAGTGAGCTTTTATTTGTAATTTAGATGGTATAAGGATTTATCCTTCTCATAAAATATAATATTTCTTAGTATAATATTATATAGTCTAATAAAATAAAAGCAAGACTGCCAAATTGATTAAAAAAAAAAAAAAAAAACTATATAAAAATAGTTTGAGCTTTACAGATATTTTTAATAAAGCATCTAGTAGAGCTATTAATAAATAATTTTTTTATATAAAAAAAAAAATAAATATTTGTATAGTTAAAGAGTAGAGTTGGAAATAATAAATAGTTATTAACAAGAAAATCTGCAAGATTGTTAAAAATATTGTTAGAGTAAGCTTGTATTTTGTAAAAAGTTATTTTAATTTGATAGACTTTAAGAAAATTAGAGTATATACTAAATAGGCCAAGAGCTAAGTTTGAAGTACTTAATAGTAAAGTGTAAAATACAGTATAGAAAAGTTTGTTATATTTAGAAATTACTAATTGAAAATTGGTAAAGATATTAACAAAGAAATTATAAAGTAAAGTAAAAATTGCAAAAAAATAGGGTTGCTTTATATACAAAAAGCTAGTTAACAATTTAAACAAAAAAGTTGTAAATAGCAAGGTTGTTGTAAGTTTAAACCTAATCAATATCTATTATGCATTGATTGGTGTCAAGATTTTTAACTAAACCATCTGTATGGAAGATAAAGTATTAAAAAAAGCTATTAGCTAGTACAATTTGAGATAAATTATAGAATGCTAAATTATTGTAAAAGAGTGTAAAGCAAAATAAGTTAGAGATATTAATAAAGAGTAACAGTGAAATATTTGCTGGGTTTTAATAAATAAAATATATAATTAGTTCAAACCACTATAGATATGTTTATAATAAATAAAATATTTACTATATATTAAATTTAAAAAAAAAAAATTAAAGCAAGGTCTCACCTTAAATATTAAAAAAAAAAAAATTTATGTTGCAGCTGATGCTGAAATTGGCTAATGCTAAAATTTTAGCTTATTTTATTATGAAATTTTAAAAAATTTTTGGGCTTTTTTGTTAGGGGTTTTTTTTTAGTATTAGATTATGGTTTGAGGGTAAAGTTGTTAATAAAAAGGTATATGTGAATTTTAGTAAGCATTATAGATTTAAATTGGAACCCTAAATTTCAGCATCAGCCAAAACAATTTATTATAAATAGATTGGTATATTTACATTTTGCACCAGACTATATATACTATTTTAATATTGTTTATAAAACTACTATACTTTTTGTATAAATTACAATATATACTGTATTATTTTTAACTTTAAACAGAGTTAATTAAATCTGTTAGTTAATTAATAAATTTATTACAATTATTATAAAATGCACCTATGGTGTTTAGCACCATATATAATTCTTTTTAATAAAATTTAGAGTTAGGGTGCATTTTATAATTTTTTTTTTCATATATATATATTATGATATATATTAGATATAAGGTTTTAATCTTAGTTTTTGTAAGGTTTTTGGGGGTTCTGAACATTTTTACTTACCCGATTTATTATATAAAAATTAATGTTTATAGCAGTTTTACAGTAAATATTATACTATTTGACCAATTTGGCCAATATTATATTCTTTGAGCAGAATAGTCAAATTGGCCAAATAGGTCCGGTCAAGCTTGACCATTGACTGGTCTAACCCAACTCTGACCTTAAACTATTAATTATTTTTACTGTGCGAACTGAGCACACAGAAACAAAATTTTGTATACTTTTTTTTTTTTTTTGAATAGATATGCGAATGCTGCACAGAAACAATTGACTTTTTACAATGCGCGCAGTTGAAAACAGTTTCTTATAGTTCTTTTTTATTTGCCGCACGAAAAAGTTTATAAATTATGCATATCCGTACAGTAAATTTAATTGAAAAATTAACATTGGCTTAAACTCTAATTTATCCTACGTAACTTTAATTTAATTTGTATTATAGAAATTTATAAATTTATATTTTGTGTTTTATACATTGGTATATATATAGTAAGTTAATAAATTTTCTTGAAACTAAGCTTAACTTTTAAAATCTAGATATATGGGCTGCCGTCAATAGAAATTAGATTTTTAAAAAAAAATCAAAACATCAACTTTTTTTTGATTAAATCATCAAACTGGCTCCCAAATTTTATTGAGATATGAGCTGTGAAAATTGAGGTATGGATTTTTTTTTAAATGTCAACCTGCCTGATTTCTATTGATGACAGCCCATATATTAGTATAACATAAGAGTTAGAATTATATTAAAAATTAAAATCGCAAAAATTTTTGGATGTTCTATAGAATAGGTGGGCAAACTCCGCAACTCCGCTAAGCAGCGTTGTACATGGACATATGTCTAAGCAAATTATTGGACATTGACAGTCCATAGACAGTCCACAAAACAATGTCCAATGTCTATGTCCATTGACAACACTGGCCGCTAAGTACCTATTAATGATTACTAATCATTAGCGAAGCTTATTTCTTATATTCCCCACCTATTCTATAGAACATCCAAATTTTTTCAATCGTTTATTAATCGTTAAATTCAGCCGGCATTAAGATAATCTTGGCCATGATCAACATAGTTAGGCCTGCTGAAAATAAGTTTATGGGCAACGACATGTTCGTTTTAAAAGGTCTAAAATTTAAAGGTGAGCCTTCGTATAACGATTCTACTAACCTTTATTTGAACAATGCTATTAAGAGTTGGTTTACTAAATTTTTTTCAAAATAAATATTATTCAAAGGCTTCGAACTTCACGTGAGCAAGTTATGTCATCGCGACACTATCATTGGTCACCTTTAATCCCATAATTTTTTAACAGGTATAATTATGCCTACTATATAAATATTTCAATGACAATATTTGTGCCTCAAATTAATGAGTAAGGATAATATAGGATTTGGGTGACACCTAATCCACCATATACTACGGTATATGAGGTTCACCAATATTTGACAGGATACAGAACGGCCTTGGGAGTTTTCTGCCTACTTTGCGGAGATCACCCATGATTGCTGGTCTCCTGTATTTTTGTTCTTAAATACTGTATATTTAATTATAAAAGCAACAATAGCATGTATTTAAGAATACTTATTTGTGATTACCATTGAACACTAACGCTAAGCACCCTGGGTTTTATTCAAAATATTCAATTTTTTAAATTGATTTATCCGGGTATTATTGTACAGCAAAGAAAATTATCTAAGTGCACACACACTTACGCTTATAATAAATAGTCAAGCTTTGAAAAAAACCCCAACATTTGATTAAAACATCGCATCCGATCTTAATACGCGGTGATATTATTTTACGAGGATAATATAAGTGGTGCTAAACGCTGATACTATGCGATGATAAAAAACTTCATTACGATAAATATATTTAAATATATATTTAAGGATTTGATCAACTAAGATTATGTATAACTTTACTATAAATAAATTGTTTAATAAATTCAAATATACTGGTTTTGATGCTATCGCAATGGGTATCAACACTTTAAAGCATTTATTGTAATATCTTTAAAATTCTAAAAAAAGTAAAACTTTAAACTATAAGGTCCATTTTTCACTATATTATCATTGCCTAATAAGTCGTTAATGTAATTTTTATTTTCATTCAGATTCATTAATGATTTGCTTTGAATGATCAAAAAATATACGCAGCGTTTCTAAATCCGAATCGTACACAGAGTACCATCCTGGCACTTATATTGATAAAAAGTGGCAAAAAAAAAAAAAAAAAAGATAAATTGTCAGTGTAAACCACATTACATTATTCCTGAACTCATATACTGCACGTTGCAAATCATTTTAAACACTTACCCTCATGGGGTGGATCACCGACCCAAGTAGGTCTCGAATCGGTGGGACGCGCAGTTCCAGCGAATGCCCAAAACATTAGTCCTGTGGATGCATTTTGTTTTTCCAATTCCAAAATTTTATTCGATATTTCTTTGAAATATTTATTTCTGTTTGTTACAGTTGCCTTCGGATCATACTTCGAGATTTCTTTCCATCCATCACGTGCCATTCCTTTATTAAAAGATGATATTAACAAATGCGTAAAGAAAATAAAAATATAATTTTTTAAACAGACCATATTCTCCTAGTAAAACAGGCTTCTTTAATAGTTGAGTTGACCAATCACTAGTATCCTGTAGGAAACCAAGCATAAAATTCGCAGCTCTTTGATAGTTTTCCGGGCTCGGATCATCCGAATTATAGTGTCCCCAATTTTCAACCCATACATGTACGCTAGTAAAATCTTTTAATAATTTTTTTTTTTTAGTAATATGTGTTTCATGGAGAATTCAAATTGTGAAAATGTGTAAAAAAAATAAGGACAATTCACCAATATAATCACTCTTATGCATAGTAATGAACCATTCTTTCCCATGTTTCCCTTCAGTTCCCGTAGTAACTAAATGATTTTCGTCCAATGATTTAATGAATTTAGCAGTATTATCGAACCATTGAAAAACAAGGTCATGCCCATTTGGAATGTTAAGAACGTCAACAGCTTGTGGTTCATTTGCTAATTCCCAAGAAAATATTGTAGGATCATTTTTATATACAATGCCATTAACAGAATTTACACGATTTATAACGGTTTTCACGTGATTCAAGTAATATTTTTGACATGTATCTTTGACTTTTTCATCAGTGTAAAATCGAGAGGTGTAAATGTCAAAAGCGGTACCGGCAGTTTCAGGATATGGTATTGGTTTTGAATCATCAACCCAATGAACATATTGTGCGAAACCACCTGACCAGTGCCAAAAGTTTGACAGAGTCTATTGGTCGAGAATTAATTAAATGAGATACTAATATGTGCGTAAAAGATGAATAGGATTTTAGTGAAAAATAACCAACCATGATCGCGGTCATATCATAGTTTTTCAATTGGGCAAGAAACCAATCAAGTCCTGTCTCAAAATGGCGTTTTAAAAAGGACAATTAGATATTAATTACTAGAAACGAACGCGTAAAAAAAAAAAAAAAAAAAAAACCTTGAAAGACGCTTTCATCATATTCTCCTGGCGCATTCATCAACGCTGGATACATCCTATAAGGTTCACCGGGAGGACCTTCACTCGCAGCCATAATTCTCAAACAATTAAACCCGTTCTCCTTTAAAGTTTCTAGGTCTTTCAGCACTCTCGACCTATTACCACTTTCCATTCCAAGGTTCATAGCCTGCCAGTAGTTCGCACCAATAATATAATGTGGCTTATTGTTTAGAATAAACCTGGTGCCATCAACTTTGACGAACGATTTAGTCTGCTCCATTTGTGTTGAATATAAATTATCTTGTAAGAGGGGACGAGCTTTAAAAATAATGAAACTTGTCACTTGTATAATTAATAAAAAACATAGGAGAGCCAAAGCTCGATCTAAAGATAGATTTGTTTTCGTCCATATGTATTTCATGGTGTAAGCATAAAGATAATATTAATAGAAAGAGCAAAATACTGAGATACTGACTGAGTTCGTGAGAAGTGATACAGAATAGGATCGCATTCAACAGAAACTATTTCACCACTCTCATCAGAAATTCTCGTAAGTCGTAAACAATAAAGGAAAAAACCTAAATATAGAATAATCCTGATTTAATACTGGACTTGAAATGATTTTCTACGCGATTTAATCTATCTAAAATGAACTTTAATTAAACAGGCTATACTAATTTTAGTTGATGTAACCACCAAATTAGAACCAGATACCCGGGTTACTCACATGACTTTAAAGTCGGTTATCTCAACGTTTTTTATATCAATAACAAAAATTTCCAGCTACGCTTGTTATTTCCCGGTAAATCGGACGAGCGTTTTTTTGAAACTTTTTTTACTCACATATCGGCGGATTTGCGGAATGGATCTGGCTTTACAATCGCATTGTTAAAATATATGGACCTTAATTCCGCAAATTCGCCGATATGATTAAATTAACAATTATATGCCTTTAAACCATCATGGCATGAATACGTACCGTATGCAAGATTCATGAATTAGCGTAAATCACAAAATCTATATTAATACTGTATATGCTAGGAAATTAGGATCTGATAGAGGTCCGAAGCAGCAATGTTAGTCAGACACAACCAATAAAAAACGAAAGTTTGAGGTTGATCTGTAGTCTGTGCATTAATCGCATTTGATTTTGCTCAAACAGATGGATCCTTGTTACGCTTCGGACAAAAATGTGGTTTTTTTCAAATATCCCGATTGTCTATTATAAGCAGTGTTGGCCGATGACCTTCAATGACCTATAAAAAAATGGTATGACTTAAGCCATCTGCCAGCACTGATTATAAGTGCAAAATATACATGATCTAAAATTTCTCTTTAATTATACAGCCTCTCAGCCGCATACTAGACCCGGTCTACTATAGTTAAAATTGGACTAACTACAGTATTAAGTGAGCCATTTACTATTTGTTTTTTGACATTTTTCTTATTGTTAAATCATATAGATAACGTCTAACCCATCTTTTTACGGGAAGATGGGTTAGACGTTATCTATATGATTTAACAATAAAAAAACAAATAGTAAATGGCACACTTCATAGTTAGTCTAATTTCATAAATTCACCACAATGCTGTATGTTCTCTCTCGAGAACAAACTAAGAAATAAAGTTCATAATTTGTGTTTTCACAAGATATATATGAAAAATACTATAATTAATAAAATTGGGGGTTTTTTTATCATCAAATATTTTCAGAAATCAAACAATGCTTTCCGGTACTAGGTATTATAATAGAGGGAGATGTAGTGTTGTGTAATTGTTTTTTTTTCTTAATATCGTAGATTGTGGCTGAGCATTGTAATATTGGGAGTTGAACATGTGAGATTCAGTAATGGTAAATGACCAGGTCATTTGCTCAAATGACCTTAAAATGACCTTAAAATGACCTTAAAATGACTGGTCATTGTCGTTATAGTCATTCATTTCATTTTGGTCACTATCGCTATGCATAGTTAATTTTTATGATAAAAATTTTTACTTGCTATTACTCATATGTAAGATAACCTCCATTACAAAACCCAGAAACCATGGTTATTGTCTTTGTTTACATTTCCTGTTCCCGGTTTTGCACAATGTTATCACGCAGCTATTTAGTTTCTTAAATAATTCATTTTGATGGTTGAAAGGTATTATATAGATTATCAATTAACAAATGCAAATGTTAAATGACATTCTAAGTCACTATTCAATTAGGTCACGTGGGTCATTTACCAACGCTGCTGAGATTAACTTTATGCAATACAAGCCAAAAATATCTAAAAACGTACGAGAAAGACGACAATATTTACGATTGGCTGATTTGTGGGCACACGTGCTTGATTTATTTGATCTATATATAGTGTCGTTAGCGTTATGCGAGAACATCAAATGTTAAAATGGTTCAAAGTTTAAATTTCAGCGGAATTTTTGGTATCTTTTATGTATTTAGGAAACCACAATTAGCTGTTCCACATATTATAGTTGATGGTATTTAGATTCGAATTATATTGCAAATTTTTCAAGGGAACACCCAAATTTATTAATTCTATCTATGTGCTTTCAAGATATTCGTGACATAAAATTCGAATTATTAAAAAGAAAAGGCATAAAAGCATTGGCCTTTGATAAAGATAATACCCTTACAGTTCCATATTCAAATGAAATATATCCACAATTTAATGTTAGGTTTTTTTTATTTTTTTATAAGAATTAATTAATTTATAAGAATATTTATATTAATCCGTTTTTTTTTTAAAAAAAAAAGAATGCATGGCAAGAATGTAAAAAAGAATTTGGAAGTGAAAACATTATTATTATATCAAATTCTGCTGGAACGGCTGATGATCCAGACTTTCAACAGGTAATGCCAACAGTTATTTATGTATTTATAATTGTAGCATGAGTTTACATCTATCTATTGTAGGCCAAAAAGACTGAAGATAATCTGGGTGTACCAGTTTTGAGACATAAATTAAAGGTTTAAAATTTTTTTTCTTTTTTTTTTTTGATTTCAAATTTATAATAAAAATTAATTCACCAAATAATTCAGAAACCAGATGGAGGGCCTGAACTTATTTCTCACTTTGCGCATTATCCTCCTGAAAAAATTGTGGTGATTGGGGATCGTTTACTGACTGATGTCGTGTTTGGCAACATGAATGGAATGGCTACTATATTTACAAAACGAATAATTACAGAAAATAACGATAATAAGATTGCTAATATTGTATATATACATATACTGTATATTTGTTTATTTTATGAAAATATATTAACTACGATTTAAAACGTTTGATATATATATATATATATTGCAGGTACGACAAATAGAATATCAATTGTTGGTCGTACTTCAAACTTGTGGCATTAAACCCCCGCAACATCCTTTATTATCTGATTAGCGAATTTGAAATTGTGATTAACATAGGTAAGTGCTGTTACTAACTACATATATGTATAATTAGAAAAAAAACGAGATCATTTACTTAAATGCTATCTGCCTTAATTCTTTATCTTTACATATTAAACATTGATGCTTTATTTCGATATCGAAATTATAAATATAATATGATATTGATACCCGATATATTAATAAGTTTTATTTAATTATGTGTATGATCGACCCAATGATTGTCTCGTGTAACCTTAACTAAAATATCTTTTTAAAAAAATTATCAATTTCCTTACATTTTTATAATTTTTAAAAAATAAATTTAGAACAATTATCAATCAGCCGAGTTGATAAAATAAAAATGGGCTACTATAGTGATAGAAGTAATAGCGATAGTAAAAAAAAATTTTTTAATTGCTATATCATTGTAACACAATGAATGATTTTTCCATTAAAATTTCGTAACACACCGTACAATAAAAAAGTCAAAGTCCTACATTTACACTGTGCTCATAATCGGTAAAACTTCACATACTTTATTATTACTTCTGTATTATTCAGCAATATTTCCAGCCGGCAGTTGGTATTTACTAATTATTATCCATGATCAACGCAACCAACACAAATTGATCTAGCGTTTGATAAATATTCCACAAATAAGGACATCTCCGCGATAGAGATGCAAATCGGTTCATCGGCTTTATTGATTAATTAGTTTTTATTGTAATTAATATACAAGCCAGTACTGCCGTTTTGCATCTCTACTCTGCAGACCTTCTGAAACTATCAACCATACTTGACGACATTCTATACCCACAAATAGTTTCAAATCACAATAGTAGTATATATCCCATTTTTTATTGAAACTAACAAATGCATGTACGAGCGTACATTTAATACAAAAACTATGAAAGTATCTTCGTACGAGTTAGTTACTATAATTCCTCACCAATCATTAGCAATAAATTTAATAAATGTTCATCTTCTGCCCAATCTATTCCACTCTCAAGTATCAAACCCTGATACAATGAATATAAATTTGTTAGCAATTTATTCAATATAGTTAACAAAAACAAATTCACGAACCCATATTACCTGTAATACATTCCGAACAACTTCACGTTTTGCTCTAGCATCGGCCAGTTCTCTCTTTGTCCTTTCATTGAAGTTTGAAAAGTCTGTTAAATATTGAACCTTTAAATTTTAAACGATGTATATTCATACTTACCTTTGAATCATTTTCGTATCTTGGCTACCAGAATCATCAGAGATTGATGTACGCATATCATTGATTTGTTTCATTAATTGCCTATTATCTCTGTGACGCTCTAAATTTATAAACTAGTAAAAAATCAAATATTTCCCTATAAAAAATGTATAATTAAATAAAAAGAAACGAACTTATGACAGCTTGTTGAAGTTCTATTAACTCAGTCTGCGCTTTTAATAGCTCTTGATGAGATTTCAAAATTTCTACTACAAGACGATCACGCTCATTTATCATATCCTTGAGGCATCTAGATATTATTTAATTACTATTGTAACGCGAAAATACACGTAAATATTAAACTTCTATTGCTACCAAAATTTTAAAAGGATACAATGCTTGAGGTGACAATTGAGATCCTTCTGGAAAAATATTCGTTAATATAACTTTTCCCGTTTCGATACTATTTTTTTTTTGAAAAAAATAAAATATAATAATTTTTAAATGTATCTATTTTATTCTTTGCTTAATCTTTCTTTTTTTTACGCACCATTCAATTGACTTATCTTTGACTAAATTTTTTGCTCGTAAATCTAAAAGAATCTGTTTTTTTTCATCGATTCGTTTTTTTAATTCAATTTCATCAGTTGGTTCTGCAAATGTTGATAATGATATCTGTTCTAAAAAATCATATACATTATAGTTATTTTATCAATTAATTCTTAATAATTTAAATAAATTTATTAAAATACTGTATTAAATTTTATAATTATTATCAAAAAATACTCACGTTGTATTTGTAACGCGTATTCTTGTTCGCGTTGTTGTTTTTTTAGTAACTCTAAACGTTCAACCAATTTTAACAATTCTTCTTCTTTATAAGTAAATATAAAATTTTCCTTATTTATAGATATCTCTGTGAAACCAACATTTGCACTCAAAGTAGTTTGTAATAATAGATTCGCTGCTTCGGTAATAAACTTTAATGACATTCTCGAAATTACACATCATGGTAATTTTATATATCTGTTACTACTGTATATATATGTATAATAAAAATAATTCTGTGTACAGAATTTTTTTTTTTTTTTTTTTTATGTTACGTACAGTACTGTACAAATTGGTTGAATTGAATTGAATTTTATTTATTTTTAAAAAATTAACAAAAAAATTATTATATCAATTTAGTCCGCTTTCTCTATGTTCGAAAGCTCGTGGTATCCAAATAGTTTAAAAGGCACCTTTATATCGTTGGAATTCGGCCGATAACTCATCGATAATTTAATTTTTATTCTTGTGATTTCATTTTACTTATTTATTTGCTGAAAAATAAATGGCTATCCCGGCGATTGAATGTTTTTTACTTGCAGAAGGACTTTATACACTTAAAGAAAACATTTTCTTAGAAATAAGTGCTCCAAATCTGTCCAGTGGGACATTAATTTCTATAGTTTCTGTGAAGTATAAGGAATATACTGCACATCCAAACATAACCACTACTGAAGATGTGTCAGCGATCGATCATGTGGAAAATGTACCAAGTAATCAAACAACGCCCTCGACTGAAAATACTTTAGAAGTTGACTTGGACGAGCCAACAGAACTAGAGAAAACACAACCTTATCAACAGCTACAAGTTGAACAAGTAGCTCAAAATGTTGATCTTCCTAATTCTAATCTTACATCAGCACAAAATACACCTTCCTTAGCTAAACCTTCAACGAGTAATGGATCGATTCCAACTTCAATAGAAGGGAAAAACGATGATATGTTTTCGTTTTTAACTCAAAATGTAATAAAACGAAAAAAAACAAAGAACAATCTTACCAAAACTACTTCATCTTTTGTGGCAAAAATTATTCAAAATGATAATTTGACAAAAATTTTGGCTAACCGGCAGAATGAAGACACCTATTTATTTTTTAATTCTGGTCGAACATTCTGTTGGGTTGATCTGACAAACAAACCAAAGGTTGATGATCCATTTTATAATTTTTTTTTTAATTTTCTGTATTTAGAATTGTTTCATGTTATACTTTTTATTGTTTCATTTATTTTAGGATCCGTTGACCAAGATTAATTTTACAAAAGCTCATCCTATATGCCATGATGTTAATCAGCTTACTCGTTCTTGTGACCATTTAGATGTTATTATCGGTTTTTCTTCTGGTGATATCATTTGGTTTGACCCTCTATGTAATAAGTACTATAGATTGAATAAACAGGTATATTCTTTATACTTTGAATTTTTATTTAAATACATTGAATTTGAATATATATAATTAATGTGTTATAATATATTTTTTCAGGGAATAATAAACAGTTCTTCAGTAACTATGGTGAGATGGGTGCCTGGTTCAGAGAATTTATTTATGGTATCTTATCAGGATGGTTCAGTGGTCATATATGATAAAGAAAAAGACGATCAAAGTTTCTCTCCAGCTGTAACAAATGAAGAAGACGGGTGATTACATAATTTTTAATATTGTAGAATTTAAATAAATTTTATTACCTTTTTTTCAATAACTGATTTTTTTTCTAATTCGTATTATCAAGATTTCGAGTAGCACGGCCGTCAAAAAATGGAAAACATAACCCAGTATCATATTGGCAAGTTTCAAAAAAAGCCGTGACAGGTAAATATATATATATATGTACGTGTCTAATAGGTCATTATATAATGAATTTTTTTGTTTTATTTCATAGCATTTGCATTTTCGCCGGATTGTCAACATGTAGCAACTGTATCTATAGATGGTTTCTTACGAATAATAGATTTCAAACAAGAAACGTAAGCCAAAAAAGTGACAGATATCACGATTTTAATGTAATTTGTTCTGTTTTGTGACCTCGGCTTTTATTGTATATTATTCATCTAACTTGTTTTTTCTTTTTTTTTCCTTCTATATTTTATGTTTATGGACTTTCTCATTGGTTATAGGCTATTTGATACATATAGTAGCTATTTTGGTGGCTTTTCGTGTGTGTGTTGGAGTCCTGATGGCAAATATATATTGACTGGTGGTCAAGATGATTTGGTCACTATTTGGGCTTTTCGAGAACAACGTATTGTGGCTCGATGTCAGGGCCATCAATCTTGGGTTACCGGTGTATCTTTCGATCCTTGGCGATGCGATGAACGTAACTACCGTTTCGGTTCGGTTGGTGAGGACACGAAATTATTACTATGGGATTTTAGTGTAAATGCATTACACAAGCCCAAGAGCGTATGTTGAATGTAATTTCTGTTTTTTTCCATATTATTACTTTTTGTGGGCACCTATACCCGCAAATAATTTTAACTTACTATTTTTTAATCGTGTCACTTCATAGTCGGGTAGAAGAGCTAGTCTTGCTTCACAGTCACACACGACTTCGGTTGGTTTACGACGTAATTTGGCTGAACGCGAAATTCTAAAAAATACAATTCATCCATGTCTACCTAGATCTGAAGTTGCGATTCTGCAGCCAATCATGGTGAGATATAAATACGTTATTTGCTATTTAATTTGCTATTTAATTTTGTTTCTTGATCATTAATAGTATGTGAATTATTACTTTAGGATATATCCATTGATAGTGATCCACTTTGTTCGTTAACATTTCGTGAAGATTCCTTAATAACTACATGCAGAAAGGGGCATATAAAGATATGGGCTCGACCGTAATTCATAATAATAATTTATCATTGAGATTACGTTTCTTTTTTTTTTTTTTGATTTTTTTTGTTAGATATTAAACTTTCATAGACGTAATTTTGACGCATACTTTTTTCTCAACTTAATACACAACTATTTAATTATACATCATATTTGACGTTTACATTTAAGTCCTAATTTTTTGTTAGCTTAGTGTTACGATTTTATCTAAAATATTTGATTATTTATTTCATCTTTAGAGTTTTGCTGAAAGTTTATCTCATAACCATATATTATAATTTTTAGCTTTCAATTTGTACAATATAATAAATTCAAATCAAAAAGAACTTAAAAAGAGTTGCACGACTTTCTCACCAACAAACAATTTATCTAAGATGATCTAAGAATTATTACCCGCTTTATATAGGAAATATTGACTTAACATATGATGAGTACAATTAATAAATTATTTCACGTCTTTGGATTTCATTACATCATTACTGAAATATCAACTTACAATTAAATAATTGTAATAAGTAGAAACTTGACACGAGAACTATTCGTAAAGAATTACTCATAATTTCAGATTTGTAGACTGAATGTTGATTTCTCGCTTCTTTTGTTTCGAAGCAGAAGCCTTCTTCCCATCTTTTCCGATAATAGTGACATTCTATAAAAAAAAAAAAAAAAAAAAAAATAATGAAATTTTCTTATTCTTATGCATTTAATAATTAGAAGGCATACCTTTTGACCTATTAGTGAATCCATCATTTTCTGTTTTGCATGCTTGTTTCCTAATCCAAGATTCATCCTGAATAAAAAGGTAAATAAGGTTAGTATATAGTTTAAGAAATTTTTATTTTCCAGGAAAGAATTCACACGTCTACACTAAGTGATCATATGAGATGCTTTCGCATCGTAGAACTTAAAACGCATCCGAAAAACTGATCGATAAGTCTGTTCTTGCAATATATTCTACAAAGTTATCGATCGGGGGGTTTTTTTTTGAAATATCTATAAAAAATTTCTATCACGTGATCGTGAGATATGGACTTCCAAATTCATAATGGTTTATTCCATTAATTACCATCCTCAGGTAAGTATTTGGTAACTTGCTTACCAACAATTACCGCAGTAACTTATTATGATAAGTTACCACTAACAACCCTGGGCTTCCAGCACCATACTAATAAGAAATTAAATAGTAATTCCAGCCAACTTGCTCAACTTGCTCATGAAAATTTGTATAATTCTGGTGGAAACTTCAGCCTCCACCACAATTAATGCTTAATGCAACAATTTAGACGCTATTGTAGAATGATTCTAAATAAAGCTCAAAAAAAAAAAACATACTTTTCGACAACTTTTCTCTCACGTTCTTTTAACTTCTTTTCTTTTTTCTTTAACCGTTTTTTTGCAGCGCGTGTTCGTTTTTTCTCATTTGAATCCATTTCAGTGTCACCCTAATAAAATATACGCCTCTATAAGTTCAAGAATTAATATTGATTCGAATAAATAATAATAATTCACCTTGACTTCTTGTTTTTTCTTATCATATACTTCTTCAGGTGCAAGTAATGTACCATCACTAACATGAACCGGTATTACTTCCTCCATAGCTATAGCTGGTACATCGGCAATAACAGTAATTTCGGGTCTAGGCTATTATTTTTAAAGATAAGTGCAATAACAACTATAAACATTAAATTCTCTCTACATAATTTAACACTGGTACCCCGTGCGACTTACAGGCTTGGGTGTATAATGGAAATTACTCAAAGCATCCAATTTATGACATAATTCTTTAAACATATTGTCGACTTCCTGATGTTCTTTTTTTAACGATTCATCCTTCTCATCTGGTATATCAGACGTTTGTTTAACATAGTTTTCCTCATATATTTCTGCTAAAGACTTTTTAGATTGTTCATTAGACAGTTCAACTAATTTTGAAGGTAGAAATGGCCTAAAATTTGGATCTTGTTTACGTTCGACGTCATCAAACGTTTCCTGGAATTAAACCTATCAATGTTAGTTGTGCTTATATATTTTTTATAATTACTATTAATGAAAATTTTATAATTACGTCCAAAATCCTTTGTTTTATCATATCTTCAAGCTTCATCGTAACTTCTTCAGTGATAATAGGAACTGGCTATCAAAAAATTATAATTCTTAAATTAATTAGTCACAAAAAATCCAGAATAATTAATGTGATTTTACCTTAACAATATGATCAAATTTTAAATCCTCCTCCAATAAACTATTTAGTGGCCTATGTTTGCCTGATACCTGAAAATAAGATTGAAGTATTGGAGTGATTAAATAATTAAATATTGTTGAGAACACATAAAAACGTTAAAAATAATTACCTCTCCCATAAGTGTCCAATCCTTATCAGCAGCATTCTCCATTTCTAACTGTTCGATTTGTTTTTGTATTCTTTCTTGTTTTTTATCGAAAGAAGATTTCAGAATTTCATCCTCTACAATTTCCACAATAAGGTGTTATATGCATTCCTTCATAACAAAAAAAAAAAGCATAAGAATGAGATTTACGGTACCTTCGTCATCGTTCGTATTAGCAAATAGATCGTAGACCAAATTATTCAAGGATTCATTATCATGCTCATAATCGTTTTCATTATTATCAATATCTAATTTGCTTCTTAAATTATTAGAAGAATTTTGTTTCCGCTTTTTTTTTGGCGGTGGATCAAAAAAGTCCTTATACATAATATCTATAAGTATCAAATATATTAATTAATAAAGACTAAAAGTAATAATTGATTCGTAAATAAAATTATAATAAATAATACCATTAGCATTTAATTCATTGTCTAGTCCATCAGGATCTGTTTATATAAAAATTTTATATTTTATACCAATTGCATATTAACATTTCGGAGTTTGTGAACTTATGATAAAACATGTACCTGCAAAATAATCTATTTCATCATCCTCCTCTGACAAATTAACGCCATCTTCTGTGTTCTTATTAAATTCTTCCAAATTAAAAAAACCAACATTCAAACCATCAGTATCTTTGTTCGATACTTCTTTAACACTATCTTTCTCGTCCTCATCATCATCCTATAATCGTGTATGTATAATGAGTGAAATGAACGATAATTTAGCGAATAATGGTGATAACAATTTCATACTTGCACATCTTCAGAGAGTTCATCTTCAAAATCCATGTCATTGTTGTCTGATGATTCGGAATGTACACGATTTTCCATTCTTTTGCTCTCTAATGAATCATATTCAAAATCATTTAATACACTATCATCCTCATCATTCTCTTGTTCATCAGGCACGGATTGTTGCTCAAAAAAATCATCAAGTGCATCCAATTCATCATTAACGTATTTCAAGAATGGATTATTTTGCTTATCAATTTCGTCCCATATTTGTTCATTATTAAGCTTATCAATTACTAGCTTTTCAACCGGATCATTATCTATTATTTCCTGCCAATGTAATGGCTCCTTTCGTTTTTCTTTTATACCTGAAATAATTTTTTTGTCAATTCACTCGAATAATATTTTTTTTTCTCTAAAATTACTCATACCTAAATTATGTAAGTCTTTTGCGATATTTAGAGCCTCAACGTATGCATTTTGATCTTCTTTCAAAAAAGTTTCTGGTTTTGCTATTACATTGTCGAGAAAAAGCGAAAATTTTTGTGCTAACATGATTAGTGATGCATATTATAACGATAAGACTGATCAAGATTTAATTGAAAAAAAAGTGATTTATCACGTGAATACGATCTATACTAAACTATATACCGACTACTCAGTGTACACGGGAAAAATTTTATTAGTTAAAACATCCTTCTTTAAACTATTAAATAAATTTTTAATTTTACATATAAAACTACCTTCGAAACTAGGGTTGCAGTTAGTTAAAGTCGGTTTTTGAACAGGTTTTGATTGACAAATCTCAGTAAGCTCTTAATTAAATTGTTTCTAATTTTCAAATTAAACTAAGACTACATAAGTTCATTTACTTAATAGGCTAAATCACTAGTTAATTTTTTTTTGAACATGTATAGTATAATTATTATCACTTTAAAAGTTACTTGGTATTTATAAACAGTTATTCTAGCTTTATTCTTTACTACTATTTCTTAAGTATGTCTTAAGTATGTCTAAGTATACAAGTTTACGTTTTAATAATTTATCAAAGTAACTTTTTTTTTTTAATTTGATACACCCAGTTATTTAAAATAATAATGATCGATAAATTAACGTTAAACCTCACACTGTCGGGATACAAAAACTGGTGATTATATAGAGATGTGACTAATAAAGAATACACTCTATATAGTCACAGCTATATTAAAAATAATATCTAAAAAAAAATGACTATATAGAGATTTTATTATTATTAATCTCCGGCTCTAATTTTCTCAAAAATTACCAAACCAAATTGGATGAAATTTTTACTAAAGGTAAATATATTATAGGCAGGGAGAAAAATTCAGAGTCAAAATTTAGTGCGTGTTGCGCGCCAAATTTTAAACTTAGTGTGCACAAAGTTTGCTACAGCAGAATAGGGTTAACTATATTGCGCACATTGTTTTAAAATTATTATTAAAAAATTACATGCACTTTGCACACAATATTATATTTTTTTTTATGCATAAAAAAATTTTTATATGTGGACTGCACAAGTGTACATCGAATTTTTCTCCCTGATTATAGGACTATAACATATTAAAATTTTAGCCAATTTTGATAAGTAGTTCTTGAGAAATTGCTCAAAAAAATAGCAAGTAATTTTTTTAAAGAAATTATTTATTGTTTTTAAGCAATTTCTCAAAAACTACTAATCCAAATTGGCTGAAATTTTAATATGTTGTAGCCTCATAATATATTTACCTTTAGTAAAAATTTAAACCAATTTGGTATAGTAGTTGTTAAAAAAATCTGGGCTGGAGATTAATATAAACTAAATATTAAAAATAGAACTTAATTAGGCATTGCTACCTGTAATGTGCTTATACATCACATTTTAATGATCAACCAATCAAATTTTAAGAATAGGTATAACATAGCACAATCAGAATAGATTCAAAACAAATGTTCAGTTAACAAAAATCACTCATAATTCAAAATTTTACATATGAAACTATCTTTGTACTTTAACAAAAAAAAATTTGTTGTGAAATTTTACTATAAAACTTATCTTACTCTAACCTTAGCTTATATACTCACCTCAACTCTAACTAACTCTAACTAAACAAAAACATGATTTATTTTAGACAAATTATAATCTATATATATGCAATGTATAAGCACATCGCTAATAGCAACTCCATCTACCATGTAATGTAAAGACAATTTTTGAACAAATATTGTTCTGGATATAGTTGGTAGTAGAATTAATTTTACAAATTAATATGGTTATAGCACATACTGTATTTTTTGCCGTAATTGCTGTGAGCCATAATACTGTAATTCCATAATGCCGTAATGCCGTAATACTGTAATGTCGTAATGCAGAAATACTATTTATAAACTATAATACTATTTGTTAAAATATATTATATTTGATTTAGTAATGACTACGAAAAAAGGGGTTTATTAGTTAACCAATCAAATTGCGAAATTTACAAAAAAAACGAAACTATGGGATTTGAGGTGATCAAAAAATATATTATAAAGCAAAGTGGGAACTTCATATTTGTTTAACTATATTTAATAGTTATAAAAAAGATAAGTCAAGCAAGCCTTACAAAAAAGTATTGTAAAATAATATAAAAAAATTTTTTATCAATTGTTAATAATTTTGTGATATATCAACAGTTCCTCTGTTCATCTTTAGCAAGCTAATTGATTAGAAATAATATTATTATCAGATTACAATACAGTATTTATGACTAATACTTGCATTGTTTAAGAAAAATTCATACTAATACCAAAATTAATTTGCTAGAGAAATCATTTTTTAAAAACAAGTATCAAGTAGCAATTTTTCTAGCAAATCAAATAACCAAATCATTTTAATATTAAATGCCAATTACAGATAACAATAGTGCTATGAAAATTTTTAAACTAATAATAGTTCAATCTTTAAATTTTGGCATTTAACAACCACAAAAGAAACTGTGTTTTGGGTTTCTGTATTTACAATTTAGCATTAACAAATTTAGCTTTAAAAAATTATATTGGCAATAAAGTAAAATATATAATTATGTATTAATTAATCAGATGATTGGATTTTTTAAAAGCCATTAAAACAAAGTGCAAAGCCCAATTTTTTTTGTTAGTATTTACATGTTTGTGTACTTATATAAGTAAGCCAACCAAAATTAGCTTAAATAAATGTGATATAAATATTTAATAATTGGTACATCCATAATCTGTTACAGGTTAAGCCACTGACTTCAATCACTGTCTGCATACCAAAAATGTGTACAAAGTTGTATTCCAGATATGGGTTCAGGTAATTACTCTAGAATTCAAAATTTTTCAATTAATTATTAGTTATAGGCTTATATACATATATACATTGTTTGTAATTTAAAAATACTGTAAATTCTTTTGATAAATATGTTAACATAAAAATTTTTTTTCTAATAAAAAAATTATTTGTGTATTTATTTAATAAAAAAAAATCTTAAAATACTAAATGTTAAAGATGATTTAAAGAACTAAGAAAGATTTTCCTTATAAAAATATAAATAAGTTATTTTAAGAACTTTTAACATATAAATAAATTTCCTAAAATATAGCTTGTTTTTTATTATATAAATTTATAGTTTGCTGCTTAATTATTAGACAAGCTTAAACTTGAAGTAGAATTAGTAAATCAAATAAATAAATATACTTTTTATTTTCTTTCTTTAATGTTATGTGCAAATAAAGATATAAATAATAGTAACTAAATGTGTACTGCAAAAAAAGAAGACTTTATAATTATTTATAATTACTAATAATATTAATATATATTACTATTAGTTGCTTAACTATCACGGATTATAGACATTCTAATAATTGTTAATGTAACTTAATTCTTATAAGCCATTTGTTGTAGCAAATAAACTTAGCCTTAAAAATAATATTTGAGGCTAAGTTTGCTAAGTTATAAACTTAAAGCCCAATGTTTAGTTTTTTTAATAATATTTAAGTGTTACTAAGAGAATTCTGCAAATTTTATTTAATAAGATTTGCTAGTTTTTGCTTGGTAGCACTTATTTATAAATTTTTTCAAAAGTTTAATTTAGATATAAATCAAAAACTATACAGTTTAATTTTTTAAAATTTAACTAATTAATTATGTCTGATACTATATCTAAAAATACTTCAAAAAAAACCAAAAGAGGCTATAAAGAAGATGATGTTTGGGAATATTTTTCTAAAGAATCTGTAGAAGATAGTTATTATTCAGCAACATGTTCATATTGTTTTGAAAAATAGAGTAGAGAATGACCAAATGAATTAAAATCTCATTTAGCATTATATATATATATATTTTTTTAATATTAAGGTAACCACTTAGGCCCTTGGCACTTTATTAGTATAAGCGGTAGGCCAATATTAATTTTTAATACTGGCTTTACATATTACATCAGTATCACGAGAGTACAACTAGTCACACATACAACTTTTGATTGCCTATTTAAGTAGTC